AAGACCTGCTGCTCCGTCATGGAAACAGGGAACCTAAAGCCCGGAACTTGGAGTGGCGAACCACATAAGGCCCCGATAGGTTAAGCGACAGGTATGCAGAGTTCGATTGCCTACTCTGTGTGTGTTGACCATAGAGGTTCACCTTCTTCCCCCTCTCTTAAAATAGGTCCGATCCCTGTTCACCTTAAATTTTACCACTAACCTTGTATGCATTGTGAGTTTGGTAACGATCAGTGGAGTTCGATTCGCTGTATTTCGCTGCACGATGAAGATGATGATGGTGATTCCATAATTATGATATTACCGGCTGCTGGCGTAAGCACCGGGAACCTTTTTATTGCACCGGTTAGCAACCAATTAAGGGTGCAATCGCAGAAAACCGAGGCCACCGAAACCGACAGTTTACCAATGGAACCGGATATTCAAATTATCAGAACCCTGTAAACCATTCGGTCACCCGACTAAAACGCTGTACTACCAGCACTCGGTCACAAGCGATCCACTAAAACATGGATGAAAAAAAAAAACAACTCCGGGCAGAACAGTACCTTGTGCATTGACACTTCGGGACCATTGAACACGGACGGTTCACCCATATCATTCCAACTGAACACAGAGTTGCTCTGTTTGGGCTCATATTGCAAAAACATTTCAGACCACCACCGACGAACGTGAGGACTTGTAAAATCAGGCCACACACTGGATCCGGGCCAGCACCAACCATCGAAATCAGCTCCATCGTGCGTTTTCACCAGTATATCCTTTGCATGAGCATCACTGAGAGAGACAGAAAGGAAAAGTTTGATAAGGCGGCTGAATACATCAAAAATAACAGAATACTAGTGAAATACGTTCCCTGATGACCCATAATGGACTAGATGTCGATTTCCCGGGAGAGAAAATACATACTGTTGGTAAAAAAATTAGAACTCTACTCCATTGGGAAAAATTATGCACTGGTTTAGCAAAGCTTCTCAAACAATAACAGAGCCTCACGATCTTACAACGTAGGTACACTCATTCGTTTGTGCACTTAAGTCTCTTAGATTTTCAGACTTTCACTCCCTCAAGTTATTCATGGAACCTAACGTCACCACTCCACACGACTACTTCGTTACTGTAAGAAATACGTGAAATACAGGAATGACTGGAAAACATTCCCCTGGAAGCACACGGAAATTGTCGCTCGTCAGATATGCGTATTCTGTAATCCCTCATTTAGTCATTCATATACTTGAATTTCGGGTTTATATTTTCGTCACAAATCTATCCATTACCACGAGCCTGCACTTTGACGTGATGTGATGGCTTGCATGTCTATATGACCCTGCAAGCTATACATGATGGCTCCTCAGCCGCAGATCCAATCATACCTGACAGGTCAACGGGTAGAGGCCAGACAAAGCTCAGTCTCACACAGCCNCACACAGCCAGCTGCTTGGACACCTGGCTTCCTCCTATCCACACCGGCCCCTGAAGAGGCCACTCCAGCAATCAAACACGGTGAGGGGCAGTTTACCGGTCGAAAAACCCCCGCTAGATGGACGTAGGAGCGGGGTACCTGGGGCTTCCACGGTGGGAGAAGTCTTCGCACTTCATTGGGCAGCTACCGCCCGCCCAAGCTGGGCAGCCCCCAGCCAATAAGGTGCTGTCCCGTCCACGTTCCGCTTGTCTCATTGGGTGCATGAGGCTAAGGGGGGGATCCCGAAAAGCGGACCGCCAACCAACGCACCAGCGAACAACAGACTGAACTAAAGTTCAAAGGCCTTGTCTCCAGAAGTTCCAAAACGGTTGCTTCGACCATGCTACTCCGCTGGATCTATGCCCCAGCCTTGTGGTTCAGACTTTTGAGTAGAAGGCTCCGGTCAGGGTTCCGAAAGAAAACCCCTTCGTCGGTGTGGACTACCGCAAAGTATAGGGTGTCCTAAAGTCTTGGACACCCATTTGAAAAAACCATCTTTCCCATTTGTCCAGTATTTCCTCGTAATATCAAATAATCCTAGCTGCATCCTGTTCACGCCATCCATTGGATATCATAGTGTTCTACTAACCAGTAAGACCAAACATTTGGAAGTTAAGGATTTTTGAAGCCCAAATTCCCTTTTCACTTAACCGCGCCCTATAATCGGATCGGTCAACAAGCTGCCTTGGTTGGAACATTTGAAACCTTCCATTTAGACGTAGCACGCTTACAAGACTCTCTACTTCAATCCTCTCCCTGGATTCTCCTGACTTAACCCCGTCCTCACACATCACTTTTAGTATGTCAGGCGATTCGGCATCCGACACTCGCGGTGGTGCATGTGTTGGAATTGCTCCAAACGCCAAGACTCCGTGCTCGCTTCTTGACTGCATTCCAATCAATAGCCGACCGTTCGTCTCGACGGGTCATCATTATCATCGTACAGCGAAATACAGCGAATCAAATTTCATTGATCGCTGCCAAACTCGCAATGCATACAAGGTTAGTGGTAAAATTTAAGGTGAACAGGGATTGAACCTATTTTAAAGGAGGGGGAAGAAGCTGAACCTCTATGGTCAACACATACAGAGTAGGCAATCGAAATCTGCATACACTTGAAGCATTCTGACCTGATAAGAAACGACAACAAGGACGCCACTGTTGTGGGTTCGCCACCATATATATATATATATATATATATATATATATATATATATATATAT